CCGGAGCGAAAACCGCGTGTTGCTGGGGAGAAATAAGGCCTGAAGTTTCATCTGTAGTAGTAAGGGGCCTGGGGGAAGCGTTTTTTATCAACCGTAGCGGCAATCTGAGGAGGACACTCCCGTGCCTTATAAGAAGATTGAGAGATCGTGAGAAAGTTCTTACGTGGCTGTTTTTAAACTTAATTTTCTAATCTGTATTGGGTATCATTACATGCTGACAGTTTTTGTTTTCAGTTCTTACTAGGAACACACACACGCACACAAGTATATAAAAGCACTGAGAATTAGGAATATGAATCTATCCACAAGTCGTAAGGCACTCAGAAATGCACCGTGAGTAAAATTGAAACACTGTGCGTGTGGAAGGGCAGTTTGATCACACTGATAAACGTGGAGCATAAAAAAAGTTGGCTAGAGTGTTCAGCTGCCTTCGTCTACCAGTTACGGTTATGTATTTAGACACTGTGTAAAGGCAGGCAAAATTTTGTCAAAGCTGCTATATACACAGTAAGATTTGTATTGTGTAATAGCCACACCATCCTTGTCGACCTTAGCTGTCTTAGAAGATTCCATAAAATTCCATGTAAAAGATTCCATATTGCTATATCCAGTATCATGAGACAACATTGACTTGTGCAGTATTAGTTACTACTTTAAAAATGTAAAAATGGTGTGAGCATGTACATGCTTTGTCTACATTCAAGCTATCCATTCTGAGGTTTGTCATTTGGAAAGCCAGTGCATGTGTGACAATAGCAAAAAGACCTTACAAAAAGCGGAGAGATATGCACATAGTGCACTAGAAGTATGAATACAAGTAAGGGAATCAGTTCATATTTTATACTAGTTTCATGTATATTTATAGCCCCGTCAAATGACAGTAGATTAATTTGTGTGTCATATGCTGCTAAACCACTTCTAAAATAAATTCACTTCTAAAATGACTTCGCTGCTGGGAGGAAAATGACTTATAGTACTCTCAACTTAATTTTTATGAATAACATTTATACATGTTGATGATACAAGATATAAATAGCCCAAATGTGTGTGTAAGTAATAGAAACGGAATGATAGAATAAATGACAAAACAGAAATTAAGACAAAAGGGAAAGAAAATTAATATGGAGAAAAGATTAATAATACTGGATAGAGCTATATATTATATGTGTTGTAAGCCTTACTAACTGATGAAAAGCTGTTTTGCTAGTCAAAGAATAGATGCATGGAGAAAACTGTTCAGTGTAGTTATTTTGTTTAATCCTTTCTGTTTATTTTCTTTGGTCTCTGAATACTATTGCTGTGGGTTTTCCTGCAGGTTTGCAAATGAGGTGAGAAGAATTAGGATTGTATTCCATGTGCTTTAAGCTGGATTTTATGTCCACTTTAAATTCTGTGCCAGTTACCCATGCTGGACCACCATTACGGTCCTTTAAAAAAAAAAAAGAAGTAATTTTGTCTTTTTGTTCTTAAAGCAGTTGTGAACAGATCAGTTTCAGATGTCTGTGCAACTTGCCACATTCATGCTACATGTCATCAAAGTGAAGGGAAAAGCGTCTGCATCTGTAACTATGGATTTGTAGGAAATGGAAGAACCCATTGTCAAGGTAGGCTGCCTGTTTGCAAAATGGCAAGAAACGGTGCATATTCCTGAAATGTTCTTTCTTGAATAATATTACTGAATTCTTCAAAACACAGTAGAAGCTTTGTAATTTCCTGGCAGAATTTCCAAAACGTAGAATATGTACGGATTGTTTTTGTCCGCGCCCCCCCCCTTCCCCCCCCCCGGTAGTCATGAGCTGTACTTGTACTTGATGTAAATATTGTTTTGTACTTAGCTGCTTAACTGTTTTATTCAGTTTCTGCTATAGAGTGAAGGATTTAAATTAATCTTGTCTTAGAAAATGTAGGGGTTTATCAAACATTTACTTTTAAAATAGAATGTATTGGAGTGGTTTACTTAACATATTTTATCCCAGCTTCACGAAAAAAAATCAAATATGGTGGGCTTCGCTTTATTATTCTTTCCAACCTATGTGTCATTGAGCTGAAAGCTAGACAATAAAGCTGACAATTAAAATTAGCACATTTTTGCTGATTTTTCCAGTTATCTCAGAGTAGTGGGTAACTAAAAATTAATTTCATAAGTTGAAGGTCTGTTTTTGATAACAGCGTGCATATATACACAAATTTCTTAAGTGCAAATGTCTGTTACATGAGAAGTGTTTGTTCAGCATTGTGTTATTACTGTAGTTGATAGTGTCCTTAAATGCTATCTCATACATGACAAATCAATACGTGAACCAAAGAGTGATGTCAAATGCTGCATCTGAGTGTATTTAAGCAGCTTACCGCTGCTTAAAGGGAAAGGTCCTCCACCTCTGATATCTTTCACTCCATCTCTTTCCCCTTCCTTCCCAAGCACTGGCACCTGCTGGGCCCTGCATAGAGTTCCATTACCTCATTATTGTGGGAGAAGACAAGCTGCATATTTTACCATGTTAATTCTCTGCCAGTTGGGTAAGATCAGCACAAGCTCCATCAAGTGCTGCAGCCAGTGCGTGCTGTAAGGAAGAGCAGAAGTGGAGAGCAGGGCGCTCTGGTTTCAGCAGCCCTTAGATCAACTCAAGCTGTGTCCTGAAGCTTTATTCATAGTCGCATTCAGGGACAACAACCTCTGTTGGTCTAAGTACTCCAGTTTACTAGCGGTGTTTACATCCCAAATAACTTACAAAGAAAAACAGTAAGGGAAAGTCTGGTTACACAGTAATGAGCGAGGAGGGAAAGATACTCTACTTTTCTTAATATCTGATGTGTTTTAAATGTGCTGACAGATAAAGATGAATGCCAGATTGGTGCCAGCAAGATCTGTGGAAATCATACACTGTGCCATAATACACACGGAAGTTTTTACTGTGTTTGCCTTGATGGATACCGAGCCTCCAACAACAACAAGACATTTATTCCCAATGATGGCACAAACTGTACAGGTAGACATCATAAAGAATCTTGAGCACCAGGAATCCAGAATTTAATTTGCTATTGCATGAATCTTCTTTTCCTGTCACTTTAGAGCTTACTTTCTAAGTCTGTATTAGAGTACGACAAACACTTATTTGACATCTAGGTTTTAACAGCTATGAATTAGATCCATTTTGCATTCTTTGCTATGTTACAAATCCTTCCTTCACAGTCACATTCAAGCAATAATCTTTAGAAGAATCTAGATGAAGTAAGATGATGCATGTCTTTCCCCTAGGATGCCTTATTTGTCTTTAGTGTAGAATATTAGCCAGTTCCTTGTTACAGTAATGAACTGTTGTAACTGATTAAGATATTTGCAGATAAGGGATTTTTCTGATATTGTTGTAGTAGGAGATAATGCTGGGAACAATTTGTCAGGTAAAAAAAGAAACAATTGTAAACATAGCTAGCTACAAAATTGTGAGTCTTCTCCTTAGAGATGCTTGAACACCAGGCAATAATCAGTTCCTTTGTTTCCCTGAAGAGCCATCAGAAACTATGTAGAACCCTTCATGGCATGTTGTATTTGTTTTACGCTTGGGTCCTACATTAATTAATTAAAAAAAAAACTATTGTGAAGTGCATATGTTTTTCTCTGAAATTTAGACATAGATGAATGTGAGGAGTCTGGTCTGTGTGGTCGCAATGCAAGATGCGTGAATACTGAAGGAAGCTACAAGTGTTACTGCAATGATGGTTATAAATTAGAAAATGGAGAGAGTTCTTTTCATCCAGATGGGAACATGGTTTCATGCAAAGGTGAGAGTCTTTGGATGCTGTTTTTGGTAGGAGATAAAATCAGACCTTACATTACATAGCAGTACCTGCTCTGATCTGTGCTTTTAAGTCTGCAGGGCAGAAGCCCTCTCCATGGACTTTACCTGCTGTATGATTTTTACCTTCTTGGGTTTAGTTTGTTCCAGTGATTTCTGGATGGTAGAGTCGACACCAGATATGATTTCTGCAGGCTCTCAGCAGTAGTTCAGGTGTGCAGGGTCAGAGAAGCTTAATAATGCCATGGAGGTGAAGTAGTTACTTTCTGAACAGGTAGGAAGTGTGATATAATCCACTTGCTTATATAATCACACTGCATGAAGGGAATGGCAAGAGAGGATAAAAAGCTTGTGAGAGAGGTCAGGTGAATGAAACAGTTCTAGGGGAGATGAATAATAAAACAATAGTTTACCTATTTATTACATGCTGTGCCACCTGCATAAATGAACTGTTCTCTTGCCATAAAAAAAAAATCAAGTTGAAACCATTCCTCCTTTCCTATCTAGCATAGGTTTTCACAGATGCAAAATGCTAGCAGTGTAAGCTGTAACTGTCAGAGTCTGTGGTGAACCCAGGCATCCCATGTGAAAGAAACTGCCTTGATTATATCCAGCTCTGATGTCTGAGTTATTGTAGGAACTGTCAGTAAAGCTCACTGCCTGTAGTTCATCGAGTTTTTCCAACTGGAGTGCTCTGCTTCATTTTGCAAGAATTGCTGATAACCTTGCTAATCCCATTGACTTCCCCCTCTACATGCTGTGTTAAAGTGGCGTGTCTGTACTGGCTGTGTTGCTTGTGGAGTTGGACAAGGGAGTCCTGTCAAGCAGCTGTGCTTGAAGGAATGTAGCTTTTGTATGCAGGCTCGTTCAGTTAGATGGAGGAGTTACGGGGAAGACCATTTCATTTCAGCCTGTCCGTAGTGCTTCACCTTTCCCAGGCATAGGAAAATAAAGCAGTGCTTTAGGGCCTCAAATTGTCCTCTCGTGTTGCAGGATCGTTCAGCCATTGCTGTAGCGAGACTGGGACAACGCAAAGCACCATCATGTTGCAGTGTCTCCTCGTTGGTGTTGCGAATGGCTCCAGCTGTATGTTAGTATAGATGTAGCTCAATACCTGGATCACTGTGTTCCTCCAGCTGTGGCCAGTACAGCTCTTCAACTTTAATCATCTACCCTTCGGCGACCCCTCAGATTCATCACATTGGGTGTATTTTGTGATGTCACCATCCAGTCCAGCTCATTTTAAAGTGGTTGCGAGTTGTCATTTTTTATACTGTGAGATCTTCTAATTCAATCTCTTTGCAGAAGTTGCATGTGGTTCCCCTCCTGAAATGAAGCATGGCTACATTGTGGGCAACTACAGCTTGCTACCAGGAAGTGCGGTTCATTATGAATGTAAAGAAGGGTTTTATAGCAACGAGGGAAAATTCTCATATTGCACTGCAAATGAAACTTGGGAACCTGCCACTTTAAGTTGTAAAGGTGAAAAGAATCTTAAATCTTTTTCTTAAATTCTTCGTTAGAGGGTGTTTATGCATGGGGAAGTATGTTTGTGAAAGACAGTAGACTGTTTCCTCAATCCGAATGATAATTTTTCAAGACCTGGCTATCTGCCATTAAAAAAAAAAAAAAAAAAAAAGGACAGGTTATAAAATTATGCCACTTCTTCTTGTTACTGTAATGACATTTTCAATGCTAGTCCTTGCATTTTTTCAGATACTGCAATGTGTCCTGCCTGTGAACCAAGGCCTAGAAAACAACGACATTTCGTTGGAAAGGCCACTGAGTTGGAAGGCATCAGTGACCTCTCATGAAAAGAACATTTTTTTCTGACAGCTTGTGAAGTTTTTTCCAAAGGTTGACTGTAGATGCAAAAGAGAGGCATCATACCACCGCTCATCTCTTGATAGCTTTCATGGTTTTAAGAGTTTAAGAGCATTTGTGCATGAGCAAATGCTTTCACATCTCTGAAGTGTTAAGTTTCCCGTGACCATCTTTAAAACTTCCACTTGCTTTGGTGTTCTGATTGCTCATTCTGATGAAATATTACTGCTTACGAGTGCAGGATTTTGTGAGTAGTTACAAAGTCTCTATATTACTTAAATGGCACTTGAAGTGCTAGCTAACAGAAGCTACACTACCTGTAACAATTCTACAGGGGAGAATTGTCATCCTGAAAATTATGACTTAGTGAGAAGAGTTTCTTCTCTCGAAATACAACAGACCTCTTGGTTTCTAATTCTTTCTCATGGCTTTTTTTTCTTTTTCCTCTGACAGTGTATAGAAATGTCATGTTTGTACGTGTTCTATGGGAAGTGAATACTGGGAAAAGTGAAATATCAAATATCCCTAGAATATTCATAATTTCATACTAAATTACTGGCATCAGAAATAAAACAATTGAAATAACATTTTTCCCCAAAAATAAACAAAGGGCAATCAATTTGAAAACAAAAAGGAAGTGCCCAAAGTCTTAAGAGGTCCCTAAAGAAAAATTGTGGAATGCACTCCTTGTGAATTGTTGGTACATTTGTTTTTTATTAATATTTTTCAATGGTTTCTTTTTCATGTGATTTTTTAATTTCTACAATCAAACAATAGGTCAGGTAAGAGTTTCTAAGCATCTCTCTCCTGGTTAATTGAAATAAAATATATCAAACACCAAGAAACAGCCCATGAGACTGAAATAACAAATGTATTTCCCCTTTGTATTGCAAGCTCTTTTCCTGGATTTCAGTTAGGACTTCTCTTTTTGTAAAACCAGCAAGTCTGAACTCTTTTTTTTTTTAATGTTAGTAAAAGCACCTTTAAATAATTCTTTCAGCTCAGAGAGATTCCTTGATAAGTCTTGATTGCTAATTTAAGAATTTCTTTTGGCCAGATAATGTCTTCTTTTTCAGGAAAATCAGTAAGTTTGTCTTTTGTCTTCTATGGTAATTTAGGAGTTCATTTTATATAGTCATGATGAAACTGGCCACTGAAGGTAGGACAGACTTGGTAAGATGTGTGACCTGACGTCAGGGTACTGTAAGTGGAGTAGATCCCCTTTTTTTTAATTTACATACAAGTACGTGGATGTAATTTGTCTTTGAAGAGTATAGCTTCCCTTGGATATTAAAAAAAGAATTGTCTTCTTGAGATGAAAAGTCTCAATGGGAAGATGTGATGCATGTGAAGAGGTGTAGCTAAACTGTTGAATTGCGATTATTGTGTCATGCTAACATGAAAGCCTTTTAGATAGTTGCTTACATTAGAAAATGAACATCATATCAAACAATGCCTTTTTGTGCTAGCTGACTTCTTTGTTTCATGCATTTGTAAATGGCAACTGAGCGTGTTTGTGAATAGAGCACCTATTACAATGCATTTTGAACACCATGTAGACTCTTGCTTTAAGAGGAAGCTTTTGTATTGTGTGTTGTAACCTTTTTTATGGTTTTGCATTTCTCTGGTCCTTGTCCATTTCCTAAAGGCAGTTTCCGCTTGTCTGCCTCCCTCTGACCATTGCTCACTGCAAATGGTATAAAACCAGCTTGCCACCTGTAATCAGGTTTGTAAAAGAGGAGAATCTTAAAAATGAAAGAAGAAAACAACAGGACATTTTCTATATACTAGCAGCTAGGTTGAGGAAGGAGTCACAGATTTAGCATGCCATTCTGAGAGAAAGGCAGAGAGAAGTCATTTTATTTGGAAGCAGCTCTGGCGTACCTACAGCACTCTTGGTCACAGTGGGGTTGTCACAGAGGACACGAGGGAGTGTTGGATTACCACAGGAGGAGAAATAATGAAAGAAATACTCATGGGAGTGCAGCCATCATTATTTCTGCTGCTTGGCTAACAAGTTCATTGTCTTTCTTTCTCTCCCTAGATGTGGATTGTGGGATTCCACCTTCTGTGTTAAATGCACATCCAGCATCTATAAGTGGGACCACATACGGAAGTGAAGTTACTTACAGTTGTGTTCATGGTTACTTCACTGCGAGCGGCAACCAGACTGCAGTCTGCAATGCCAAAGGACAGTGGGATGGTACTGATTTGGTGTGCAAAGGTAAATCACATCTGCCTTCAGATTTATTTAGCATAGATACTCTTTTGACTTCCATAATAAATAGGAGTCATCAAAAAGAGAAATCCTCTTCAGGCATTCAGTTTATACAGTTTTCTGGTATATGAAGTTCAGTCACAAACCAAAAGCTGTGTATTAACAGGGTTTTTTTATCTGTGTTGCTAATGAGTTGCAATTAATTGTTAAAAGTTAACATTCTAAGGACAAAATCCCAATGCATGACAGGCATTAGGATTTGCATGAGATGAAAATTCAGCCTAAATTGCTGCCATTTTTCTAGCTCTACCTACTCTGTGATCAAAGCCACTACTCAGAAATTGAACCACCTTTAGCAATTAATGTCCCCTCAAAATTCCCGAATTCAGACAGTTTCCAGTTGTAAATTATGATTGCTCAAGCCTGCTATTGTTTGACGTGAGTCATAAATCCCTTTTATTACTATGATTTGGAAGATTATAGCCTAACAAGTTCCTTGATAAGATGAAACACAAAGGTACATTTTAAAAAAAGTATTTTGCCCAACAAAATTTCTGGTGTATTGTTACTCTGAGCTCATATTATTAATTAATATGACCTCAGTGTAATTATAGTCTTCAGTCAGTTTTTACTTTGGCACAGCTTCACTTTTCCATTCACTGGATGATTAATATCTTCTCAGCTTGATCCAGCAGGATTGAGTCTTCTGTTCATTGCAATCATACGTAGTAATTTTTTGAATGTGCCGTGTCTGTTACAACCACTCTCTACTTTTAGAATCTTCTTTAATATTCTTATTCTGGGTCACCAGTCTAAATAGAAGGTTCATTATGTTACACAGAAATGTACTTCTGAATTTCTGCTTTTCAAACTGATTACAGGATGGCTGTGGGCAGATAGCTGGAGTTAAGCAGCAGTAGTTTTTGTATCTCATTCACATATTGTCCTTCTAGAAGTTAAGCATATTGTTTGCATGTGCATTAGTTATTCTGAAACTTGTTCTGATGATTTATAATAGATACATACATTCATACACATTGGGATATGAAAAGGAAGGTAATCATGATGGTTGATATATTCCCCATTGTGATACACAGGTTTACTTTTCCTTTAAAGGTTGCACAGCTTATGATTCTGTGCACTTTGTTTTTTCATCTTTGTTTTCCTTTTTTGAGTAGAATTTCAGAACCACTTAAGATTATTTATTGAACAGTTTTAAAAGCACTTGATTTCTGCATATAAGCTTTAGTGTAGGTAAGATTTTAATTCTTACATTGCTTTCTTCTTATAAATGAAGTAATGCAGAATCTTCTGTTGGGGTATAACATTCATTGTGGATTTGAAAGGGAATTTTTACGCTGAATATCCTTCCATTGATTTGATGTTTACTCTTTATTCCTTTTTGTTCCCTAATTCTATTATAAACCCCCTGAAAACAACTGAGCAAATAAGTTTGTAAGTGCATTACCCTCTAAAATGATCTTTAAAATGGTCTGAATAATCCATCAAATTTTCCCCCAGAAGTGCTCCCTTCCTGCTTGTCTGTAGCAGCTCCTTTTTTCAAAGCTTGAATTAAATACACTGGCAAAGGAACATAACCTTCTTGATTGCTGTTTTTCCATGTCACTCCTTGAACCATGTGTTGTTCTTCAGATCTGTTGTTACTAATGATAGGTAAAATAAGGGAATAAATAGAATGTCGGGGTAAGAGAGTGTTGTGGGAAGATAGATCCGCTTGCAAAAATTTGCTTAGAGATAGTTGTTCTCCATTTCTAAACAGGACACTTTTATTGTTCATCTTGAAGGATAAATGACCCACCCTGCTAGAAAGCCTCCAGTCACAAAATTCTGGGTTCTAAATGGCTGGTCTGACTTGTAGAAATCACTAGGAAGTGAAAAAAAGTGAAGTGTTACGTGCTGGAACAATTTGTCTCTCTTCCTTAAACACTTTGATATGCCTTGCCTGTTTTCATTTTCAGGTTTTGTTACCCTGTTTTTTCTGTTTCAGAAATAGACTGTGGCAAACCTTTGCTGATTCCACACACAGAAATGATCTGGCACAACTCTACCACTCTACGGAGCAGAGTGTACTATCAGTGTAAAGAAGGATATTATTTTAATGGAGACAGGAATTTTTCAGAATGCACAATAGATCAGTCTTGGGAGAATATTACATACATATGCAAAGGTAAATACTATTGTAGGAAGTTGCTGTGGGGTGTCCTATTTAAGTAGTTTCTTGTTCCTCTTCTGAAGGTAGGAACAGGAGGAAGGATGAAGGCAAGAAATCCCTTTCTAATTTATGATGCAGGGAACATGGTGATACTTTTGGATGGAAAGGTCGCAGAAGAGAATGTTAGCTGTGCAGTAATTTCTAGTAGATGCTACAGATCTTTCTGTAGCTGTCTTGCTTTTTATTTTAACCAGAAAGGGACTAACGCAACTGGAGTTTCATTGCTGCACTGGGAACCTTCAGCTTTAAAAGACACAGGAACATGACCAGACGAGCAGAAGTCATTTAACAACATTCTGTCGTGGGCCTGGTAACTGTAAGGTGCACTTCAATGAAATTCAAAACTCCTTTTTCTTTTTTACTCTCTCATAATGCCCAAAGTAAAATTTGTTCACGGCTGCCTTTCCAGCCTAGATTTAGTTGTCTAAATTTCAGTCCAGAAAGATTGTCTTACAAAAGAATGAGTCCTGAGAAGGGAGATCTGTAACGAAGGTGTTGTAATACTGTGGGCTTGGATACAGGTTATACTGACATTTTAATAATAGCAAAAAAAAAGCATATCTTTTGGACTGTGGCTGTTGTGCTCCTTAGTGTTCTTCGGTGTCCTTAGAAAGAGGTGTCACAAGACAGCTCTACGACTGTCCTTCTCTTGTTCTTAAGTAGCAGAGCTGTCTTTTGCAGATGGTCATGTTCCTGTAGCTTTGTAACATCCACATGTTTCTCAAAAGGACTGGAAGTGTGTCTTTGACTGCTACCACTTTACAGATCAAGCCTTTACACAAAGAGTTGCCACTTGATGCGTCTCTTGCCTCATGTCTTGAACATTCACTGAGAATATAAAACGTGACATTAAATAAAATGAGCATGCAGAAAACCGGTTCTCTCAGTTTTTATAGTGCTTCAATAAAAATGTAACTGCTGTTGTTAGAAGTCGTATTTTGTATTTCATCTAGGCAATTTGCGTAGCTGTACTTTCTGAATTTGTTTTGAAGCCGGCATTGTGTAGAGTGGCTAAGTTAATCAGGTGTGTCATTGCAATGCTGAGAGTTCTGTCTTGAGCATTCTGAAGCTTTGAAGGGTCTGAACCTGCAGACTGCATACATAGGATTACTACAGATTTCAGCAAGAGCCTTGTCAGAGGCAAAAATATAGACTGCAGCTTTAGCTGTTGGATCTGAGGGCCAAAAAAGTCAGAATTATGGTCAAGTAGAATGGAAACTTTTTAAAAAAATAGCCTAACCAGTTCAGGCTCCTTTAGGTGGGTGGGGGAAAGGAATAGGAAATTGGTGCAAAGGTCCTCAGCTTCTTAACATCTACATTTTCTACACTTACTAGAGGTAACAAATTACTTCCAAATGAAATTAAATTTATGTTTCAGTAATGGTGAATATATATGATCTTAAGGGTGTGTATAATTAATCAGTAATCCCCATTAAAATGAGAAGGAATCATGTATTGTTGCAGAATAACTTAGATAGAAGAAAACCGTCTGTCTTTTCCTATTGCCTGAAAAACCTCATTAGAAATAAGGAAGTTAAGAATTTCCCCTGAGCATGTTCCATTTGGCAAATAATAATTTCTTCCATTCCTTAGGCAATGATTGCTGTGGAATGCCCTTCATTCGCATTGTCTGTTGGGGTATATAGTAAATGTGTGTGTGTATATATATAAGTACATTTAATAGAAACTGATTTAAATATTTAAAAATTGCTTAACAAAATTGATTTTACTGAGAGATCCTGATTGGATCAAGTCATCAGCAGTGAAGTCTGGCAATAGTTAACTGGATTACAGTCTTCCTTTCCCAACCCTTGACTTTTATACATAAACTCAAGAGACTAAAGTGCAGAGAACTTACCAGCAGTTAAATACCTGCTGTCCAGTATGCTCAATGTGTGAGTCTGGACATCCTGTACAGCTTGTCTTGTAGAACTTCTTTTTCCTCTGCAGAGTAGGAATGTGTGGTTTCATCTTTTTTCATTGCAGAAATGGTGTGGTGTTATTCCAGGCACATATTTTATTGAGCTCTGGTGGGATTTCATGGTAAATTTGGAAAGTTTTTTTCAGAGTGAAAACAAGATCCCCCTGTGGGAGTGTTTCAGTTTTTCAGGGAAAGGCTTTGGCTATAAAGCACTATAGCATGCAGTGGTGGAATACAAGATAGCCTGAAACAAGAAGCTTGGTTTTCTGGTTGTGAGTTTCAGAGGAGAAATGGTCAACCTGAGCTTTTTTGGTAGTAATATTTATCTTACTAGCAGAGGTGATTCTGGGTTGAGGGCTCAAAATGGGGCATAAGGTAACAGAAGACTTAGACTTGCGTTTTTTATTACAGTGAAAAGTATAAAATGAAGTGTTCCCACTCATGCTTTTGTTTTTGACTGGATTCCCCAGATCAAGGTGCTTGGTTTTTTTACTTATGGCCGTAAGAAAGCCAGAAAAAAGGTGATTTGTGCCTTGGCTATCTATCTGAGATACTTGTTCCTAAATCTGCACTTGCAAATGGCAGTGTGCAATGTATATTGCAAGCCTTTACCAAGTCCGTGAAGAGTATTATTTTGAGACGAGCAAGGAGAGGAACTGGATGGTGTCTGAAATGAAAATGGGTAGATGAGTTGGTTTTGTCTTTCATTAAGCTTGGATAAAAATGTTTGATAGTAAAAGGTCACGAAGGGCTAACGTAGATGCTGAAGTAAAATCTTTTCCCCTCGTAGTATGTGTAGATTGTGTATGTGCATGCATGTACACACATACAGACACGCACAGAGTTTTAACTTCTGAGAATTTATTTCTTGGGCAGCCAGGGGAAGTTAAGATGAATTATGGTGAATAAGGTGCTTGCGAGGTGACCTTGCTCTTAATACCATGTGCAGCTCTAAAACTTTTTTTGGTGCTTTTTCCAGTCTCTTCCAATGTTAGGAAGGAGTCAGTTCATGCACAAAAGGGGCAGTGTCTGATGCAGTTTTCTATGTTAATTGGACAATTGCTAAGGATATTTTGGAGGGAAATAGTCCCTTTAGCTGCTGCCACTCACTACATCCTGTTTGCAGAGCCCTCCCTTCTACTATTCGTCAAGCTTTGTCCAATTTCCCAGTCCCAAGTGCTAGCAATATCCTCGTCATGGAGAGCTTTTTCACAGTATCTGATCTACTCCTTCTACAACAATTGGCTCTTGTCCCAGCAGATAGGCTGGATTGGCTGCTGCTCCTTATTCTGATCCTAGAAAAACTACTCTATGGCTGGTTTTTTTGGAGATTGTTGGTATTCAGTGTGTTTAGCATCTGTTGGTGTGGGTAGCAACAATATGGTGTCTTAAGAAAGACAAAGAGTTTGTCCAATTTCCTTATTTTAATCCAAGGAAAAGAAAACACAAGTCTGCAAAAAAATGTAAAAAGGCTGGAGGAGGGATTGAATCAGACCTGCATGGAAAGGTAATGCGCATTACTGGTAATGCATTCTAAAACTCAGGGAGTGGGAAACAGCTGTTGTAGTCGAAAGGGAAAATTGACCTCTGTGTCCCATTAATGCTGAGTCTGACAGCATGGCAATCTTCCTGGTCAGTTGTGAGAGCCTTCCAAAGTAGGCCATAAAGGGCTGTCAGCAGATTTTAGGCTTTGTGTGCATGGTATATAGAGGAAAAGATGATCCAGTCCCTATGTATTGTGAACCTGGAACTCAAATAGGGAAAAAATCATTCACACCAATGCACATTCCATCTGATCCTGAGCTTGGAGCTTCTGTGTCATAACCTTTTGTGTGCATGCTCTTCTTTATGTTACCTCTTAGAGGTAACATACCTCTTAGTCCATCTTTCATTAAAAGTTAAATTTGTGTTTCAGAATGCTTCATTTTTGTGTGTTGTGACTCCCCATCCACAAATAGAGTTGAGCTGCAGGTCTTGACCTCTGGAGGTGATGTTGAGATAATGATGTGGAACTTGGGTATTACAGCAGTGAGGAGTACCTTCAAAGCATCAAGAGAATAAGGTGTTAGTCAGTTTTGAGCTATTTCCCAGAAAATAGGTGTTGCATGCCAGCACTGAAAATCCTAATGGCTGAAGAGGATGGAGGATACTTGCTAAATAAGTGCTTCAGAAATTTGAAGGTTTAGAAGGAAGAGTGGTTCGATGAATTGGTCCAGAGAAGGCATAGCAGATTGTCCACACTGTGCACTTTAAAACATTGCAGAAGAGGAAGAGAATACTTTCATAATGCAAAAAATCTTGTAAAACATCAAAAGCGAAATCCGAATCCAGCCTGGAATAAACAGAGCAGGATCATCCTTTCAGGTGTCATTTAACTGTAGACTTACAGCAAAGATAATTTCCATGCAACTGAGAGGGTCTAGTTACTCTCTTTAATCCAGAGTTGTTTTCCCTTTACTTTCACTTTCCCTTCTTCTCCTGTGCTTTATCCCTATTTCCAGTGACCAATTTCCCCGCTAGCTAGAATTCTCTGTGATGTCAGCTTTTACATCCTCACTTGTACAATAAGAGATGATACAAAAAGGCAGCTAGAATGTTTCTGTGGTGGCAGCATAAGTAATTACCACACAACAATGAATGGGTTAACGCTCACTCCTAATTTTATTCCCAGCTATGTGTCAGTAATTCATGTCAACAGTTATGAGCTTAATAAAAAAGGTGTCACTCACATCTGTGGGCATTGATGCAAACCCTGTGGTTCTGTAGGAATAAAAACATCAAACAATTAGGATAGTTACAGGCATCAATGAAAAGAGTCTGATTGACCCGAGTTCTTGTGAAGACCCAGTTTGATATGTTAAATCCAGGCATCTGTTAATTTCTTTAATTGCCTGGAGATACACACGTGGAGTCTGTGTTATGGGAGGTGCTACTTCTTAGATCAAAGTGATGCAACCCAGTGATAATTAAACAAAAAGAGTGTAGCTTTTTGCAGGGCTATTTAGGTGTGTGTTTGTTTGTTTGAAACCAAATTAATAATTACCCAGTTTGTGATGGCAAATACCAATTTCCAGTCTTGGGAACATCTTTCAGCTGGGGAGTAGATCATACGCATATCTAAACCCAGCCCATCTAATCTTGTGTAGTCTGACACCCTTGATTGATACATTTTCCGTTTGTAAGTATGCTAACAACTGCATCTCCTATGTTTTTGTCAGTCTGGTTCAATACATGAATAACTCTGCTCCTGATTGTCTCCTGGTAACATTGTTAGACCAAAGGAAGTAGTAAATCATCAGCTAGCTATCTGCTCCTTCCTGCGTGACTGCCTACAGCTTTGCTGTTTCTTTGTGGATTTGCTCTGTGTAAAGTTTGGGACTGAAGGTGAAAACCTGCTGCAATTTTGCAATTCTAGTTAAACTGGAAGCAAGTATGTTACTCAAAATACGAAAAACTCATAAAAACTTAGCATGCTACCCTAAAAGGTATAAATACTGAATATGTGTCTTTGTAAAATAAATTCCATATATACTTGTGAAAACTACTGTGCAAGAGGAGTTTGCTTGTATGCTATAGAGCAAGTGCCTTGAAACAGCCTGAGCAGAAGTTCTCTTTGAAATGTTGTTTGCTCTCATTTCATTTCTTTTTCTGAATGTATGTGTGGTGCGTGTTAGCAGCAGATGGCATTTGCAGCATCATTCACAGTTTTCACAGAATTGAACTGGCACAACATACAAAAAAGCGCTAATACTTGGGTTTTTTTCTTTCCCTTAAATTGCATGTGTTTGTGGGAATTGGTGGGAAGAGCTCTGTAAGTGAATTTGCATGTGTTGATGCTCTTTTAGCTACTTGAAGATGAAATACCAGATTGGAGCTGGTTCTATCTGCTTTCTGGTAAATAAATTTTCCATTTCTTTCATACAAGTTCTGATGTATCTGAAGCTGAGGTCAGTCATGTCAAGTGCTCTTTCAGCTGAGGACTAGTGAGTTGTATATGTAGAAGGAGTCATGTAGTTTTAATAACTGTCTAGACGTAGAGTTGTCTGTGTGTTACCTTTTTTTTCCTGAATTGGCAAATAGTAACACTGAGTACTGGGACCTGAGCTTGCAGTGACTGATAAGCAAAGGATTAAGGTTGTTTCTCACGGCACAGGGCTAAGGCAGAAGAGCATGACAGTACAGGCGTTTATGCACTGGCTGTAATTACTGTGAATATTTTCCCACACACTGAAGCATAGAGAGAGGCCCTACTTCCTAGCAGAGCTTTTAAAAGTGGAGTAAAGAAGACTAAGACCTTCACTCCTTGTTTTCCTTCTTAGAATTCATTTCTTTGGCTTTCTTAACATGATTTCACCCCCTCCAATCTCACTGGTGCTGTTGAATCACTTTGTTGCTTGCTTTTTGTGTTCTCCCATTTGTCTTCTGTTTACCAGCACCTGTCTTTCTTGGCTGCTAACAGCCAGGTGCTGTTTGCATCTCTCTACCTTCTCCCAGATTTGCCTTTCAGTATTTGAATCCTCCAGAATTTTCCACCCTTCTGGTCTGGTCTCCAGGCATTTGCATGTTGTTTCTAGGATCCTTTCCCTTGGGATGGGAAGGAGATTGTGACGGTAACCTGGAGATCAGTGGCAGCAGCAATGGCATCCAGTAGCCTTCTCGGTTAATCACAGGTTGAAATTTCTAGTGCTGAAATATGGGGAAATTGGGGGTCTTAGCTTCTCCAGTCTCATTTGTGAGTCTTAGTGAAAGCTGTTGATGAGAATCAGGTTTGTTGAAGACCTGGATGCTACTGTCTGCTAAGACATCACACTGAGGCCAGGCACGTATTGTGCCGTTAACTTTGGGAGTCCTCAAGCTCTGGAAGTCACTGACACTGATAGATTTCACAGGACAACTAATCTGTCGGGGAACCTGTTTCCCTCTAGGTGCGAGAATACTTGTTTCAGAGATACCTTTGTGCTGTTACTGGATGCTATGTTTATGCTACTGGGATTAATGTTAAACCAAGCACTTAACTGTACATTTGTTTATCCAAACAAAGAGGGTGTGATCAGTAAGAGTAAGGAAGGAAAAGCCGTCTCCTCAGAAAGCCCAGGACTTCATTGTGGTGTTCTCTCTGTGGGTGTTACAGATTTTTGTCCTCTTTCACTCCTACCCATTCAGTGTGAACTTATGAGAAAAAGTCTGCCAGCTATTCTGGCATGTATGGTAATTGTATGGGTGGCCTTACCTTTCTGAAAGTTCAGAAAGCATGATGGAAAAATTGATGTAGCTGCGGAAAAAAATGCTGCTAGTTCTGCCTTCTTCCTTCTGACCCTTCCTTCCTTGGGTCATTTTTGCCATTTGGTCTTTGGTAAAAATGTATCTGATTTAAATAATAAAACTGAACATACTCTTGCTGTGCGTTGGTACAGAAGTCTTAATACTGTGGAGTTTCTAGACATTACTGTGAACCAACACTTAAATACAATTAATCACACAGCCATTTGTAAGGAAATTTGTTTTAGAGGACATGCAGATTAATCTCTTTTTCTTCTTGTGTCCTGTAGAGGAGGAAGCTTTCAACAGCATTTCCATATTTAATGGCAGTTTAGAATGTGAGAATTAAAGTTAGTTGGGAGATAAAGTGGTCTAGTGAGCGTGGCGTCTATTTGTTGAATATATGGAGAGGAAGATACCATTAGAAGACAGTTTATGACAGTTTTAATAATAAGAAAAAAGGAAAAAAGAAAATAAAGTGTGCAAAATACAAAACCAGTTACACTTTAATTCTAAATAACTGCCTACGTGCAGGAATTTTGGAGACTAATTTCTTTAGCTTGGAGAGAAGGAGGCTCAGGGGAGACCTTGTTTCTTTTTACAACTACCTGAAAGGAGGTTGTAGCAAGGTGGGTGTCAGTCTGTTCTCCCAATTAACAAGGAATAGGTCAAGAGGAAATGGCTTCAAGTTGCGCCAGGGGAGGTTTAGATTGGATATTAGGAAAAATTTCTTCACCCAAAGGGTTGTCAAGCATTGGACCAGGCTGCCCAGGGGGTGGTTGACTCACCATCCCTGGAGGTATTTAAAAGGCCTGTAGATGTGGTGCTTAGGGACATGGTTTAGTGGTGGACTTGGTAGTGCTAGGTTAACGGTTGGACTCAATGATCTTAAGGGTCTTTTCCAATCTAAATGATTCTATGAAATCAAATATCCCCACAGACATGCACACACAAATGTATTTTGATACTGGGCAAATCCGTGCTGTACTTTCACATGATCTTTTATAGTGAGAGTGGAATTGGGAATAAATGGTGATTTGAATGCATTAATGCTGTTATTGTATTCAGAAGAGCATTTTTTTCTAAGTTTGTTGGCTTATTGGTAGCCTCTTTTTCTTACAGACAGCTCTTTTAAATCTGCTTGACTCTTCTGTTTGGAGTTTAATGAGACTTGTAATCTGTGAGATCCAATGGTCTACAAAGTCTTCGAGTTGATGTGTAAATGGCTCATTTGTTAGAAGACAGACCATTGCATGTTACGAGATCCAGATGCTGGCACCCAAGTTCAAGGAGAATATAGAATGGGTGGCAGAAGTAGTGGAATTGGGGCATTGTTTATTGCTTTTCATTTTTGGTGTTGTGATACTGTCATAAGCACACTTTAATGAAAGACTTCGACCAGGAATACTTGTACAAGGTACAATTTTAATGTATTATAACTAGGAGGAGTGTCCAAAGCAGAGCAAAATGTTGTTTCTCATTGGCTCTTTTGGCTGGATTGGTCACCTGGTATGAAAGATTCTAGTCTTAAGTAGAGTACGTACTGAAGATCCTTGTGTAAGAAACAATGCTGTTGTATATGTATGCTTTTATGTATTAGGAACATATCAACACCTCAGGAACATGGAGTTGATGAGCTTGTTCCTGTGCTGTCAGGAAACTGTAATGACTTAATGTCCTCTTCAAGATCTGTAAAGTCATTAGAATTAAAAATGTTCTACAATAAAACGCAAGCATAGTGAAGTATTTTGTTTCATTAGTCATGGCAGTTCACATAATGCTGGCTGTATGTTTAAGGACTTCCACAATCATTAGCTTCAGAACATCCTGCTTTGGTTAACCTTGTATTTTTTTTGTATATTTTAATTTTAGGAGCCAACACAGTTAAGGGAAAACCTACTACCTAACTTCTGCCTACCTTGTTTCATTTTTCCTGTTTGAAAAAGAAGCAGAGAAAAAGGAAGAAATAAGCAATTGCTCCAAACATCAAGATTTGCATGAGAAATTAACTGTTTTCATTCTGTGTTCATGTTTTTCCTCACAGAGGAGGAATTATTCAGTAATTTGTCCATATTCAATGAAACATGTGTGAAGTGGCAAAGGAAAACTGGAAGACTGGGAGTGCAGGAAACGTACATGGTAAGTTGGGCAGTATTTAAGATTGGGAGTAGTTTTGTCCTGGTTAATTCTGGTCAGTCAGTAGTGGAGATTTGTTTTTTGTGTTTTGTTTATATGGTAATTTTTCTTCCTCTTCCCAGTGAACTGCCTAAAAAACTGAAGATGTCTGGTTTGGGAAAGAAACAAATCCTTGTCCTAAAGTTAGGTGAAAAACTTAAAAGCTGTTGGGGTCCCATTCCAGTAAATTGAACATGTGGTTGATACAAGAAGCATTTCAGCACAAGTTGTATGTTTTAGTGAAATTTTGTTGTAGAGTTCAAGGTCCCATTGACATAGAAAACATTGCAAAATGTGCGCTCTGTCCCTATCTGCGATGCAGACATTTCAAGTAAAGAGTGTACGCTTGCAGATACTAGATGTGACTTGTTTTAGAAATGAAAGGTATATTGCAATACTGTGCCTTGCTCAAGAGATTCAACCATCTTACATTAGAACATTTTAGAACTGTTTTTCACAGGAATTGAAAACAACCTTGGTAACTACTCTATTTTTTTTTTTTTACCATGTATAAACATAAGAATAAAAGTTAAGTTACAAATCCTCAGAAACAAATAGTTCAGCCAGTGTTACTGAGTGCCAAAACAACATGAAAAGAATTCCCATGTTTTGGGAATGACAACATCCTAAGAAAGGTTGGGGTTTTTAACACATACAAGTAGGGGAAAAAAAAGGTGGGGTATTGGTAGTGGTCAACAGCTCAATGTCCACATGGAGATTGGTGACTAGCAGTGTCCCTCAGGGGTCCATACTGGCACCAGTCCTCTTTAATGTTCTTCATCAATGACATAGACAGTGGGATTGAGTGCACCCTCAGCAAGTTTACAGACAATGCCAAGCTGAGTGGTGCGGTTGACACACCTGAGGATGGAATGCCATCTAGAGGGACCTGAACAAGCTCCAGGCATGGGCCCATGTGAACCTCATGAGGTTCAACAAGGCCAAGTGCAGGGTCCTCCACCTGGGTCAGGGTGGGGGATGAAGGGATGCAGAGCAGCCCTGCTGAGAAGGACTTGGGGGTACTGGTGAATGAAAAGCTGGACATGAGCCGGCAACGTGCGCTCACAGCCCAGGCAGCCAACCGTGTCCCGGGCTGCATCCAAAGCAGCGTGGCCAGCAGGTTGAGGGAGGGGATTCTGCCCCTCTACTGCGCTCTGGTGAGACCTCATCTGCAGTGCTGCATCCAGCTCTGGAGCCCTCAGCACAGGAAAGACATTGACCTGTTTGAACGGGTCCGGAGAAGGGCCACAAAAATGATCGGAGGGTTGGAACACCTCTCCTGTCAGAACAGTCTGAGAGTTAGGGTTTTTCAGCCTGGAGAAGAGAAGGCTCCGGGGAGACCTTATTGCAGCCTGCCAGTACTTAAAGGGAGCCTACAAGAAAGATGGGAACAGACTTTTTACCAGGGCCTGTTGCAATAGGACAAGGGGTAATGTTTTAAACTGAAAGAGGGTAGATTTAGACTAGATCTAAGGAAGAAAATTTTCACACTGAGGGTGGTGAAACAGTGGGGCAGGTTGCCCAGAGATGTGGCAGATGGCCCCAACCCGGAAACCCTTAAGGCCAGGTTAGATGAGGCTCTGAGCAATCTGTTCTATTTGAAGATGTCCCTGCTCATTGCAGGGGGATTGGATGAGATGACCTGTAAAGGTCCCTTCCATCCCAAACTATTGCATGGTTCTATGATTATTTATGATCTCTAGGGGGGGTAGGTTAATGTGGAAAATACATTTCAATACGTTTCAATATACGATAATTTTGGAAAACAGCCTGGTTTTCTCTTCCTGTGTTACAAACCAATGTATTTTTAGTTTGAGTGGTTTAGTTGAGCACTGCTGAGACGGAAAAAGCAAATTCACAATTGCCCAAACAGTTCAAAACCAGTGCTTTTCATGTACCCAGTGGTAACTGGCAAGCTGTGGATCCCTGGTATAATGTGCTCTGTGCATGTGGTTGTGCCTTGAATTCAGCTATTTGCAAGACACTTCACAATATTCAAAATTGAGGATGATGTAGGCATAGGGTGCATGCATCTGTGTATTGACAACACAGTCTGAACTGCCTTGAGCTCAACTAGATGAGTTTTGTCTGTCCCTTCATCTCATACAAACAACAGGTTTCTTTTTCACTGCACTGGGACAATCTTAGGGAAGCTTGTCTTCTACTGTTTGGCATTCAGTCTTCCTACTGCTTCTGTAGGGCAAGGGGGAAAAACTACAAAAAAGAAAAGAAACCATCGAGCAGATGTAGTTTTGATCTGTGTGCTGTAATCAAGAAAGAATATTTACTTAACACCTTACTGCTTATGTTGGAGTTGCTTGTAGGGTCCATGTTGCAGATTCCTTCTATTTGTTGTAGAAATACATGGAAAAATATTCATAATTTGAATAGCCAGAAGAAATTGAAGATATAATTTATTAAGCCATCTTATTGCACCAAAACAGTCACAAGCTAATTTTTTTGATTGAGCTGATATTTTAAAACAGATGTAATCCTAGGTTCTCAAGGCTTAATTGAACTAGTGTTCTGAATTTTGGAGAACCACAACCAATTTTACCATCTTTTGTGTTAATCCTTCAATAGTTTCACATACTGGGCCAAAGATGGGATGAGAAGGCATTCTCGGAAGATGCGGTATTTAACATCACTACAAGTGAAGATAATCCAAATGTGTGTTTAGATCTCAACTCTGGTGGTAACTACCTGGTGAATATTACTGCTATCTCTTCCACAAACATCACTGTCTCAGTTACAGTAGCAGTTCAAACAAAGGGTAGGTTGTGTTTTGTATTATCTGTGCTTACAGAAGAACTTGCTGTGCTGTAGAATTCACTGTTTTGGGTGTAGCTGTCAGGGCAACAGGCCGTCTCCTAGACTATATCATTCTTTATGCTGACAGCATCCCCTTTTTCTGCAAGACATTTTTCTTTCTGTTCACTGTGGCCATTGAATCTATGAGAGAACAGCCGGGGCAGTAAGTGCCCTTCAGAATTTCGGTCCATGGTACAGTGCTTACTGGTTTCCATTCCTTGCCTTGAAAATTGATCCTCTGCCTATGGGAGAATTCCCCATTTGCTGTGCTGTGTGACACTAATCTAAGTGATGTGAGCATTATAGATAATGTTCCTCTGCTTAGCAGCGATGAGCAGTGTTCTCAGTAATTGTAGTGAAGGCATGTTCTAACAGCAGATTTCTGTAGTATTTTGGTCACAGAAACTTCAAGCTTCCCTTCTGACATACTAATTCTGGTGGGACAGACAGACCTTGAGAAATAATTGCCTTTGGAATCCACAAAACATGCTTTTTCTCATACGCTTTTTCCTAAAAGGCATCAACTGTAGCAAATTGTTCTATGATAACTTTATTTCCATCAGAAGGTCTGAACCCCTGGATCTTTCTGTCATTATAACCTTCCTAGGTGTGGACAAATAGATCCTCTGTTGATTTCCTGAATAGCGTGCTTGGGTTTTTTCCAACAGCCATTTTCTGTTGAAAATGTTCATGCCTTATTTACTGTGTTTGCTCATAGAAAAAAAATGAGATTCTACCTCTGTCTCAGAAGAGAACTAAAATAAAAACCTTTCCTTTCATCTACTCATTTTTAATTAAGTTGAAGAAGTTGAAGCTTTTGTAATAAGTTTTTCCCTTTTTTTTATTGTCTCTACAGTAAAGGAAGCTCTCAATAACCTATTAATTTTTAACGATACATGCTTGAAATGGCGAAGGAATGTCAGAGGAACTGATGTGGAAGACACATACTCAGTAAGTCACAGTCTGTATTTTGAATCTAGAAAACAATCCATATCAATCACTTACGTGAAAAAAACTGTAATTTTTCAAATACTCACTGCTAGCAGTGTTCCTCATTATTAGAATGCCTCCCATAAAAAGATGCAGGGAGTAAGCTTGCATAGCAAACTTCAAAAAAGAAAGAAACCACCATGCTTTTTTGTAGTCTCCTGGTTTTGCTTATTTTTTCCCCTGCTCTACCCTATTTTGCCTTCCCTATCTGTACTTTGAATTTTGTTGTGTTCAGGCCTCAGACGACTCTGTTCCAATTCCACAGAATCAGTCCACTCTGCCATATGGTACACCTTCAATCTTCCCTTGTCCCAGCAGGGCATTTCTACATGATTATCTCTGCCAGGACTCTTGACCACCTGCCGTTCTCTCAAATCTCCATGTGTTCAGAGGTGCTCAGAGATTATCTAAAGGCATAGGATCTATTCAGAGGAAAATTAGCACATGATTAAAATACAGCAAGCATTTTAGTTTTCGTTAACAGAGGAATGGTCAGGAGAGGCCTTAAGTTAATAACTTCATGGTCGTTTGGGAGATCAACAACAAAACAACCACATACAAAATCCAGCTGAAAAAAAAAAAAAGCCATGGGCCTGTAAGTTTGCCTGGAAACATAGCTGCCTGTAGGCACATCCTGGAGGGTGGTTGGCATTTTGACATAGGAGTTGAGTTTGATGGAAGTTTGACTTGATCCTCAGGGTCAAACCAAAGAGAGGTGCTCATGTGAGCTTACACAGATCATCACTTTGCACCATGAGGGTATACTACAATGAAAGTGCACTCTTACTGGAAACCTGTACGTTACCAGAAAATCAAGACTTGGGGGAAATTACAGTACTAATAAAAAAGAAGCTAGACTCAGGAGGAGGAGAAATGAAAGAACTACGACAATGTCAGAGCTGATCAAAGGGGACTGCAATTCCTGTCAAATTTTGGAAGCATTTGAACTTGAATAACTGTCAGTGCCAAGATTTTTGGCACTCTGTATGCAGTGATATGTTTTTCTGCAATTTCTTCTAATTTAGAGCATGACATGACTGAATGCAAGTGATATATTAAAACATTGCCATTTCCATACCGTGATTGTTTGGTTACAGTTTCAAGTGCAAGGCCAGCGTTGGTATCAGAAGGAGTTCTTTCATGAAATGACCTTCAACCTTACCACACACAAGCAGGCTCCAGAAGTTTGTTTTGATTTGCAGCCAGGCACCAATTACTCTGTTAATATTTCCATGGTAGCTTTGAATTTTTCACTGCTCATTTCCATGACAACACAAATCACAGGTATGTCCTGCCACTTATTTTATATGTTTACAAAAGCACCTACTGGGTGCATGAGGCTCAAGTGAAACAGTATTGTTGATCTCAGTATTGTATGGCGAGTTGTTAAAGTGCTCTTTCCATGCTCAAAATTGTTCATTGTTGCTTAACAGATTTCACAGGGTTGACAGTCCAGCAGCAGTAGAGGGAGAGAAATGGGGTGCAGTGTTTTGAAGCATCACTTTGGCACAGCAGGGAAGAGATAGTTTGATGGATTAGACACAAGGTTGGTATTTAAGAGCTGGGTTAAATTCCCTGCCCTATTAGAGGCTGACACTTTTTCAGTACGAGTTCTCTCCACTGTGAAGTGGAGCTAAAAGCACAACTCCATGTCGTATGGGTATTTGTGACAACAGATATCACTAAAGTCTGCAAGGATCCAAAGTGTAGAGGGTCCTGCAAGTACCTCAGACAGATACCTTCATCTCTAATTGGTAGAATACAAAACATAAAAGGCATTTGAGCAAATAAAGTTACGTAGTAAGGGTCTCAGCTTCACTGTTTAGCAAGATATTTGTATGGCACTAAAATGCTGTGATTAAAAACAAGGCAGTTTTTAGCACATTTTTTTGTTTAGAACAGTTTTGTAGCATCCCTATACTGTCAAACTTTCTGTATAGGTTCTTAGCTGTTACAATGTGAAGTGCAGTGTTTGGTGCTGGTATCATTCTTACCATTGGGGCCAGAAATTGGAATAGGTAAGGAACATGAAAGGTCTCTGAGTGTTTGTAACTGTATTCAGCCACTAGATGGAACCAATTCTCTTCTGACGGCTTATGAAGAACTGGGGATTTGTGGTAGTTTTGAAATTCATAGTACTACAGTATTTTTAATAGTAAATCTAAGGGTTTTAAGCTTACTGAAAGGCAAAACATCTCTTGCTTCCTAAAGCTACTGTTTAGGATATACAATGATCTGGATTTTTTTTAAAAATGAAATTGCCATAATGATTTGATAATTCATTTTCAGAAGTTTCCTAGCTGTCATGCAAAAGTAGCATCCATGAGTTCAAGAATACATATACCATTGTAAAAACTAATAAGCTGTCTCAGTTTGGTTGACTGAAGTAATTTTTGAATACATACTCAGAGTAAAAGTGTAGCTCTTTGCTCGCATCCTGTGATATTTCCTAAACTCTGCAGGATTGCATCAGGTCACTTACTCAGCAGAGCTCTAGAGACCACTTTGCAGCAGGTGCTGTGTGAAGTGGTATTTGTGTCTTGGCAGCTGGCATATTTTCCTCCTCACTGAGTTAGTGCTTAACAAATGCACATGCATAACCTCAGAAAAGGTCTTCACGTAAAAATTAGGTCATTACCATTTTGAAAGAAGATCCTGCTACATAAGGCATTTTATATGTCGTAGTTACTTTTTTCAATGAGCAATAAAAGGTAGGTGTTGCTGTGTTATTACAAATCTTCATCTGGCAGTGCCATGCCAGCACTCCATAATGTGTTTCCTTTAATGGAAGCCAAAAAATAGAAGTGGGTCTTTTTGCGTTTGAAATTGAGTGAAAATTAAAAAGCTATCAGTGGTCATGCTGTAAAGGTCACCAAAGAATGAGAATTTAAATAAGATGTTAAATTTTTTGCTGTTTCAGTTTATCTAAGATGAAAAAGATATAGTTAGAATAATTCATCTGGCATCACCCTTTGACTTCTGTGCCTTACGTTTCGGGAATTGCTGTATCTGTAAAAGCAACTTAATTTATATAAAAACTATTTATAATTTTATAGTGGGTGTATAATTTGCTTCTTCATTTATCCAGTTATTTTGTAATCATGTATGTTGTTAAACCAGATGGTTGTGTTTCCATGGTGGGTGGAATGATCTCAATTTATCTGCCGTAAGTCTGAAAAGTGTTTTTTGGCTCTGGTAGTTTTCTGGCTAAATGGTACTGTATAAATGTAAGAAATGCATTAAGCACAGAGGCTCTAAGGGGTCTAAGACTTAAAAAAGTGTTTTAATATACTGGAGGTGGCCTCTTTTGTTGTTTAAGTTTTCATATGGCATCCTTTAACAAATGCACAGTCAGTTGGTCTGTTTCCTCAGCTGGGGGCAAATGCAGATGTTTTATTTCCTTCGCTTCCACACATCTCCTGCATTTTGAGAGTTCGGGAAGTCTTAACTGTGGAGTTTCAGCTACTGTGAAGAGACATGTCTGAGATGATTGGATGACCATGGGCTAACAAACTTAAATGTCCTGACAAGGATAGTCATCTGTGTAAAATCTTAAAGGCTGTTGCAAAATAGAATAAGCATGTGAATGTGATCAATGAAGTTTGTGTCTTTCTTTCAAAAAGGAAGATTTGTAAATACTTGTTAAGAAGGTTACTTGTATATCCTGAGTATCTATATCTGTCTATTTCCTTGATGAGTATGTATTATATCCATAGTATTTCTAAAGAAAAAAAGCAAGAACTTGGGACTTAAAAGCCTGCTTTTCTCCCTGCAAAGTAGCATCCTTCAAAAATAGTTCTGTGCTGAGCGTAAGTTGGTTTTGCCAATCATCTTGTGGATGGTAGATATAGTCTAGCAAATACTTCATGGATCACTGAAATTCTGCTCCTTTCATACTTCCAGTAACAGGCATCTTGCACAGTCTTTTATTTTAGACAAGCTCTAAGCACCTGTCTACTTGAGATAGGAAATTGAGTAAATTACGAAAAATTATTAGCAGTGATTATATTATAGTTGTAACAAGATGATGGCAAGATTGTCTTTTAAGCAAAAAGGGAGTTTGTGTCTGTTTCCAAGAAAGGAAATGAGTGTCTTCTGGGTGTACTTTCTCATTCATTATTTCTGTTGGGATTGCACTACTTACACGTGGCTCTGTTCCTTTTCCTTTTTGAAGGTCATTTATTAAGGCATGCTCAGACAAAGCATTGTTCTTAATTTCATTGTCTGTTTTCACATGTGAATTTAAGATGACTGAATTTTGTAACCACTTTCAAGTGTTTGAAAAACAGAATAATAAAGAGCTAATGCTTTTGCTTCTTACATCCTAAATAAGAGTAACTTCTCCAGTTGAGCTGCATTAAAATACTATTGATATTTGAATCTGTTTGTAAGCTTTGCTTTGGGATAGATGATTTATGACGAATGTGACAAAATTGTGGTCTTTGGGAATTTCATGAATGCCTGCTTATTTACATTGTCTAGCTAGCTTTTTATAGTTTTAGAGGAGACCGCTGTGACCTAAGACATCATACTTATAGGACAGAAAACTTTCTAGACACTAGAAATAGATGTTTTGTATCTGAATTACTGGATTACACTTCCTTCATGTAAAATAATTCATATTAGAGTCAATGATGATTTCTCATTACTCTTCCTCCACGCCATTTTTGTCCTTAGAATCAAGGTGTGTTTTGAGTTTGTTCTGTGCTTACTGTTCACACATGCTGCCCTTTCTTACATATTCGTATTTGGACTTTCCAGTGCATTTGGGTAGGTTTGACCTTGAGCCTGTGTACCTCAGGCAGTTGTAGTAGTTCCTATGTTTTTCAGCTGCTGTTCTTTTTGTTTTAGTCCAGGATATACCTGCAGGCCACATACTCTAGTGTGTGTATCCTCTCCTTCCATATGAACATGTAAGTCAGAAAGTAGACTTACAAGCAGGGAGTCTAGAAAGTGACTTGAGTTAGAGGAATGAATTCCATCATACACTAAGTATAATCTTCGATTGCTCTGCCTTTCTGTCTAGGTACGTGAAAAATGTATTACGTTGCAGATCAGGTTGTGATGTCTTGATTTGTTTGCCCACCCATGGATGTACACACATACATTAAAGATCCGTTATTGTTCTGCTCTGTTTTATGATGGAAAAGATTTACACTCATGCTTTCATAAAGGGACTTCTTTAACATCTGGAAAAAACAAATCTGCTTTTCAGTGAGGAAGTGGAAGACTGTTGGTGATCTGACGGCTCTTACTCTGACAGCATATCATGCACCTCCAGAGAGACAGTCCATTACAGTGTGCAGCTTCAGAGCATGAGTATTGCGAAGAAGGGGGTTTCTGGGCCCCTCACTACAAGGCGGACATTGAGTTGCTGGAGTGTGTCCAGAGAAGAGCAAAAAAGAGCAACAAAGTTGGTTGAGGGGTCTGGAGAACAAGTCTTACAAGGAGCGGCTGAGGGAACTGGGGTTGTTCAGTCTCGAGAAGAGGAGGCTGAGGGGAGACCTCATCGCTCTCTGCAACTACCTGAAAGGTGGCTGTGGTGGGGTGGCTATTGGTCTCTTCAAGTAACTAGCGATGGGACGAGAGGAAATGGCCTCAAGTTGCGCTGGGGGGGGGGGGGGGAAAATGACGATGGGA